TGCAGAGCGCCATGAGGCAGTCCTCGATGACGTCGCGCTGCGCCTTGGTGAGCGAGCGGCCGCGGGACAGGCGGTACACCGTGTGAAGCATCGAGTCCACCATGATGGCGCGGTGCTCGGTTCCCGCGAAGAGCGGCGCGCACTTGGTGATGAGCGGCAGCACCGCCAGGCACAGGTACCGGTTCAGCGCCAGCGCCATCTCCGTGGTGCTGAAAGTGGCCTGGGGCGCAGACGGGGGACGTCAGGTCCCACGCTGGCTCCTGGAGTTGCCCGGGCGCTCGCGCTGGACAACTCTGAGCAAACGGCCCAGGCTTCTGGGCTGTCCCCCAAACCTGCTCCTCCTAGTCTCTACTCCCTTATTACTTGGGACTGCAAATTTTCAAACCCGTACAAAAGTGGAGAAGCCAATTAGTGAACCCTCTTTACCTCGATGAGACTGTTCTGCAGTTTCCACCATCCACATGTTTATCTCCTCTAACCCCACCTTTTTTCCTGTGATATTTTCATGCAACACCAGCCATATACCATTTTACCCAAAGATACCCAAATATGTATCTCCATTCAGACAAATACTTCTATTTAACCTTCCATGCTGCCATTATCACACCTCACAGAATTAACAATGTCTTAATATTCATGATCAGCTTTCTCCAATTGTCTCAAAAGTTGCTTTGCATTTAGCTGAGATTGTTTGGATCAACATACTATGTTTAGCTGATGGGTCTCTTAGGTCTTTTCATCTGCAACTGTCCCTTTTCCTCCCCCTTTTAATAGTATTTATTTGCCGGAGTAACTGGATCATTGGTCCAAAGGAATTTCCTACATTTTGGCTTCCTGGTCACTTCCTGGTGATGTCAGTAGGCTTGTTTCTCTGTTCCCGCATTTCTGATAAGCTGATGGTTATAGGGTCACGCTCCTGTGTTCCTTTTCCCAGTTAACGGCTAACTATTTCTCCCATCTTAAGAAGAGACTTCTTTTGACCAAGGTCACCCCTCCAGCACATCTCCGTCCCTCCGCCTTCTTTGTCACCAACTTGTGTAAAGACTGTCAACACTCACTGTCCCCACACCTCACCTCTCAGGCTCCTTAAACTCTCTCCAGTAGGGCTTTTGCCTCACTGCCTTGTTGAAACTGCTTGTCAAGGTCACCAGTGACCTCCATCTGGCCCAACCAGTGGTCAGTTCTCAGTCCTCACCTTACTTGGCATTGTCACCTGTCATTAGTATTGTTGTGCTCAGGTCTTTGTGTCTCCATGATCTTTGTGAGCCATCACTGAAGATAATTTCTTACAACCTGAGGTGTTGGAGATCCCACCACCCCCTTTCCCAGAACTCAGTTTTCCTTGGTTTTGTCTTCTGTCTTCTATGTGATGGTGGGGGAGGGCGGATCAGGATGTGCACACAATTTCAGAGCACACTCTTCCCACTCTGGAAGTAGGGAGGGTGGCCAGGCTACTCACCGTGTCCAACGAGGCAGCTGCCCTCATGTCGGGCAAGAATCCCACGTCCAGCACGTGCAGCAGGAAGTCCTGGTTCTCGATGCCATACACACGGTCCAAGAAGAGCACCATGGATGCCTTGTGGTCAGGCACAAAGGATGCTGACATCTTTGGCTGTACCAGAGCCCCATCTGTGGGCAAGGAAATGGGGGGGTCAGGGATGCCCTTCAGAACTCTCTCCCCAGCATCACCCCCTTGATGAGTCCCATCCCATCCCACCTTTGCCCAGGGTGGGGATCTGCAGTGGGAGGCTGATGATGCCCACGAGGTCGTCCAGGGGCACGAGGGAGCGCAGGATGGCACGGATCCGCAGGGCCTCACCCTTGCCAGCTTGGATTAGCTGGAGGGGAGAGGGGCATATTATTGGGAAGCCATAACCCATTTGGTCATTACCCCACTCTGTCCCTCCTGATGCATTGATTGGCAGGTGGAGCAGAACTCCTTCTCACGGGGCTAACTCCAGGATACACAGCCCTGCCCCTGCCTGTGCATCTCCCATGCAGCCTTGACCACCCTGTGCTCTCACTGCCTGGTCCTCCACCACACTGGACAGGGAGCTCTGGGAGAGTGGGGTCTGGGGCTGCCTTGGTCACTGCTGTGTCCCCAGCATTGCCTAACCCAGGACCAATTTTGAATGACCGAACAAAGAGGTTTAAGGTTGGCCGTGCTTGCCCCCACCCTCGGTCTTTGGTTCTCACATGCATCTCAGGTGCACAGCGTCCAAGCAGATCAATCAAGGCAGCGTAGAAGGACATGATGGCGTGTCCCAGGTGCACCCGGTTTTCCTCGGGGGGCTCCTCCCCAAAGCTGCAGGGGAAGGAGGGTGGTGTGGGGAGGCAGCAAAAGGGAAGAGGAGAGCAGGTTCTGTTGAGGAGGGGGCAAGAGACTCACTGCTCACGCCGCCGGTCCCTACGGACACCCGGGCCGTCCCTCGCAGGGTCCTCGGAGATGCGGATGGCCTCTTCGATGGCGGCCAGCAGTCCCGAGCCGCCCTCACCCCTCAGGGCTGGCCCAAAGCACTCGGGCTTGCGGATGAGCAGCCGCACCACCACGTTGGCGTTCTCCTCCACGCTCTCACCTGGTGGCTCGGTGGGGTCAGGAGGCCTCATGAGCCCAGGGTCCCTCCCCGGGCAGCCTTGGACCCAGCACTTCAAGGGTTCATGCCCAGATCCCACCTCCTGCCCAGGCCAGGCCTGCAGCTCCAGATGTGGGCCACACTCGAGGGAGGCTTTGGCCGGTGACCCCAGCCTCAGCTGCCACCTCCACCACCACCTGCCTCACCATTGACGAAGACAGCGAAGCGCAGGAAGTCCAGGTAGCGCTCGCCACCGCAGGGGTTCCAGCCGATGTCTGGGTATCCTTTGGCCAGGAGCATGGGACAACTTTGGAGGCCACAGCCAGCCAGGTAGGACACCACCTGGGGGCAGAGGAGGGCTCAGCCAGAGGCCAGACCCACACTACCTTCCTCCCCAAGTCTCAGGTCCCTGCCAATCCCCGATGCTCCACACTCCGATTATCTCTGGAACCCTCGGCAAACGATAACTCTCATGGCCCACCCTCATCTCCCACCTGCCATCAGGGGGCCTCTACTCTGGGCTCCCTCCTCCCTCCCAGTCTGTGCCACACACAGTCAGAGGGACCCTGCAAACACCTAAATTGGGTCATGTCCTCCCCCTGCTCAGAATGCTCCGGTAGTGCCATCACACTCGGTAAAAGCCAGAACACTCACTGTGGCCACAAGACCCTCCACACAACCTTCCCCACACCTTCTGCCCGCACCTCCCACCACTCGCCCCTCGCTCCCTCTGCCCCAGCCATGCTGGTCTCTTTACTGTTCTTCAAAATCATGAGGCCCACTCCCGCCTCATGCCTTGGGCTAGCTGCTCCCCGGCCAGGAATACCCTTCCCCCTGGGGTCCGCAGGCCCCTCACCCCCATCATGGCTTTACCTGAATGTCCCTTTCTCAGGGAGGCTTTCTCTGACCGCTCTTATCTAAACTTGGACGCCCTTCTAACACTCGATATTTTCCCCTGCTTGCTCTTTTCCCCTTTATCACCCATCACCAGCTAATGTGCCACATATTTTACCTTTTCATCTCATTTATTATCCATCCTCCCAACTACACTATCCAACTAGATTGAGGACAAGGGTTCCTGACTGTCTCGATCACTGCCATACCCCTACTGCCCTGCACAGGTCCTGGCACATAGCAGGTGCTCAATAAATATTTGTTAAACAAATACTGTAATAGTGGATAAGTGTTACTGAGTGCTTACTGTTTTGTAAATGCTTTCACAGATCAGCTCATTTAATCCTCTGACCAACTCTATAACATTGTTTTAATTATTATATTCATTCTGCAAATGAGGAGACAGAGGCCTGGAGAATTTAAGTCATTTGTCCAAGGCCACGCAACAAGGGAGTGGGGAGAGTTAAATCTAAGTTGCTGAACTCCAGAGCCATGCCCTTCAGTGCTACACCCAGAAGTAGGGGCACAGAAGGCGAAGAAATGTGCCAACGCCACACAGCTGGGGAGGGTGGAGCGTCAATTTGCCCTCAGCCCCGTGAATGAGTGACTGGGTCCTGTTCTTTCCCTGAAAATTATTCCCTTTCTGATTTGGTCCTGGACCATCCAGAATGGCCCTGCAGAATGGGTCCTGACTCAGCAGGTGCCCACAGGGTCCAGGCCTCCTCCCTCCGCACCTTCTCCAGGTCCTGCTCCTGCAACGCCAAGGCCAGCTCATTGTTGTCAATGACAGAGGCAGCTGCCACATCCAGGGGTGTGGAGCCCTGCATGCCTGTGGGGGACAGAGGTGGTGAGAATGCGCTTTGGAGGTGCAAAGCCACCTGTCTCTCTCCTGCTTATCTTACCTCCTCTGGGAAGCCCTCCCTGACCACCCCTTTCCAGCCTGGGTCGGGTGCTTCTTCTGGCCTGTGCTTCCCCATCCCAGGCTTGACCACTCTGGGCTGTTGCTGTCTGGGGGGCAGCACTGGGCTCGGGAGTACTCACCCAGGCCAATGCCGCTGTTCTCAAGCAGGTAGCTCAGGTGGTCAAACATGGAGCGCTGGTTCTGCCGGCTAATGCGGCAGAAGTAACAGAGGAAGCGGCAGCAGCTTGTCACCATCTTGGGGAAGCGGATCTCCTGGGGTGGGCAGGGTCGGCCAGTGGTCAGTGCCTGCCCTCCATGGCCCCTGCCGCTGAGCTCCTCAGCCTGTGCAGGACCCTTACCTTGGATTCACCGCCGCCGAGGACATTTACCATGACCTCCATGACCGTCTCGTGCATGCCCAGTGCCCTCATCAGGTTCGGGTGTTGGTAGAAAACTTTGTTGTTCATGATGTTCCTGGGGATAGATGGAGGGTGTGGGTGGGGCCCAGGTCCAGAGAGAGCCCCAGACTCTTGGGGGAGCCATCACCAGGTGGGCTCCCCTAGGGAGACCTTTGTCATGTTGCCCGTTATATCCTCAAGTGCCCAGAAACGGCCTGGCACACAGTAGGTGCTCAATAAATGTTTGCTGAGTGACTGATTGAAGCACTTGACACTAAGTGAGTGCTCAATACTATTATTATTATTGCTACTGCTACAAGCAAGAGTTCACTGAAGCTGCAAGGAGACTCTACAAAGTGGGTGTGGCTCTTCCTCATTTGAGGTGAGGAAACTGATGCTCCAACAGGGTAAAACCTGTGCCAAGAGTCAGTCACAGGGGAGCAGGATCTGTTACCCTGGG